ATGCCCTTGACCGGAATCGAACCCGGGACCCTTGAGTCTGCAGGCCAACGCTCTATCCACTGAGCCAAACTGGTCAGGGCAGTAACTTTTTTTTAAAAATATATTTTTATTGATTTTAGAAAGGAAGGGAGAGATCGAGCCCACAACTCCAGCATGTGCCCTGACCGGAATTGAACTGTGACCTCCTGGTTCATAAGTCCATGCTCAATCACTGAGCCACACCAGTCAGGGGCTTTGTAGTTTATAAAAATATAAGCAAATAGGAATATAATTTTCTCCTTTTTTAGACTGAAAAAATAAAAATTGCATAATTTGTGCATCTTCTGTTTATATTTTTAATATTTAGATCCTGAAGACCTTCCATATAACTACATGGAATATTTTTCATTCTTTTTGTGTGTGTTTTTTTGTATTTTGTTATGTGGATATCCCATAGTTGACTGAATGAGTCCTGTATTGATAGTCACTTGGGTTGTTTCCAATTGCTATAATGAATATTTTATCACAGTTTTTGAGACATTTTAAAAATTAATTTTAGCCAAAACCGGTTTGGCTCAGTGGATAGAGCGTCGGCCTGCGGACTCAAGGGTCCCGGGTTCGATTCCGGTCAAGGGCATGTACCTGGGTTGCGGGCACATCCCCAGTAGGAGATGTGCAGGAGGTGGCTGATCGATGTTTCTCTCTCATCGATGTTTCTAACTCTCTATCTCTCTCCCTTCCTCTCTGTAAAAAATCAATAAAATATATTTAAAAAAATAAAATAAAATAAAAAAAATAAAAATTAATTTTAAAAAACCTGTAGATTTGTCTATATCTTACTTTTTGACTAATATATTGTGAAGGTCTTCTCTCTCTTTTTTTTTTTTTTGCTATTAGGAAAAACTATATCTTTATGTATTTATCAGAGTTTATCTGAAATATAAATTCCTAAGTGTGAAATTGGTAGGTCAGTTATGACATTTAAAATTTTTTTAGTGCTGTTGGTTTTCTATTGCTACATAAAAAAACTTCCATAAATTTAGCAGCTTCAAAAACACATTTATTAGCTCAGAGTTCTGTAGGTCATAAGTTGAGACAGTAGATCTGGGTTCAATGCTCAGGGCCCTATAAGGCTGTACTCAAGGTGTTAGCTGGGCTGTATTCCTTTCTAGAGGCTCTGGGCAAGAATTTTCCAAGCTCCTTCTGGTTGTTAGCTAATTCAGTTCCTGTGACTGCAGGGCTGCTGTCCTTCCTTTACTGGCTGTCAGTGAGGGCCCACTCTCCGCTCCTAGAAGCTGCCCACACTCCTTGCCATGTAGCTGCCTCCATCTTCAAAGCCACCAGTGGAGAATCCCCCCACCCCATTGAATCCCTTCATGCTTCTAATCTTTTACCAGTCAGTCCCTTTTGTGGGTTCAAGTGATTTAGTCAGGCCTACAGAGAAGAAGCTATAAAAAAAGTCAACTGATTTAGGACCTTATTTCTGTAAAGTTCCTTCATAGCAATATTGAGATTAGTGTTCGAATACCTCAAAGAAGGTGCATGTACACTAGAAGTTGAAAGTCTTGGGGGCCATTTTAGAATCCTGCCTACCACAATCACCAGCTGCCCTCTAAGAGTTTTAATAATTTTCACTCCTAACAGTTTACAAGTGTGCCTGTTTCTCTTCACCCCCATTTTCTATTGGGTTATTTAATCATTTTCTTAGTTATATATCTGTGATCCAGATGACTAGCCACTTGTCATAACTGCATCTATGAAGTAATTTTATAATTAAGTTTAAACTATTATTCTTTTATCATTACAATTACATACAAATGCTTCAGTTACTTACATTTCAGCTATGAAGTAAATGGTTTTCTTTTTTCAGATTCCTTTCTCCAAATTTTTCTTCTCTAATCAAGGAAGAATCCGGGATGCCCAGTTCCAGCTTCTACTTGACAAGGTAACATTTTCCTTTCATTCAGAACTGTATTCCCTTTAGTGAATCAGAACTCCGGTGAGGATGAATTCAGTCCATTTTGGAAGGCTGGCAAATAAAGATGGAAATTCCTACTCAAGGCCCCCCCTGTAATACCCAGACAGATGTTTACACAGATCTACCTATCCTTTGAGCCAAATCCCTATCCTGGAGAATTTCATCATGGTCTTCTCTTGAGCATGCCTACATTTTATTTTAGCTTTAAAATAAGAGAACAGTATTGAGTTCAGGAGAGCTTCAAGAGCCTCCATTAGACACCCATGTTGTCCTCACTTGCTTAAGTGGCACTACATTAAAGGAAGAGGAAAGGAAGTAGAGTGTGGAAAGAAAAGTAGCCCTGTATTTCCTCTTATAATTTGCTTCAGCATATGAAAACTATGGTATACTTGCTAAGGGCTGATAGTGTAATATAAAGACTCAGCTATAGTAATCACCTCATGGAATTTTAAAACTCCAGGAACATCAGTATGCGATTTTGATCAATTTCTCTATTTTAAATTTAGATCTCCTCTATTGGATTCACCCTGGCTGATAAAGTGGATGGTCCATTCTTCCTGGAAATAGATTTTATTGGAGTTTTTGCTGATCCAGCCCACACAGAAGAATTTGCCTATGAAAATTCTCCAGTGCTTAACCCAAGACTTTTTAAATAGAGATCATGTAGTAGTGTAGTATCTACCATGCTGATACAGAGACAAAATAAAGTATTTCTTTAATGGCATCCAATCAGTGGGTGGTATATATTCCCTAAGAGAAAGCTAAATGCTGCTCCTAAGAGGTACCATATAGAGGGAAACCAAGTTCTAAACTGCACCTTAACTCAGAGAATGCAGTTACTATACTGATGCAGAGATACTATATAAATAACTGTTTTTGGTTAGAACGATTTCTGATAGAGACGATTCCTGCATGGTTTCCAAAGCAAGGAGTCTTTGAGATGACTGTTGATGGCCTACTACCACTCTGTTCCTTACAGGTTTCTTCTCTTTTCTAATCCATCTTTGAGGAAGACTGCTGAAGAATATTAAGATAAAGGTGCTATTAAAGTCCCTGAGAAAAGACACCTAGACCTGCTTAGTCTGTTCGGGCTGCTATAACAAATTACTATAGACCAGGTAGCTTAAACAACATACGTTTACTTCTCACAGTTCTGAGGGCTGAGAAGTCCAAGATCAAAGTACTTGCATATCTGGTATCAGGTGAGTGTCCACTTCTTGGCTTATAGACAGCTGCCTTCTTGGCTGTATCCTCACATGGTCTCTTTCCCTTCTTTACAAAGACACTAATCCCAACACAAGGCCTCAATCCTCAAGACCTAATTGCCTCCAAAAGGTCCCACCTCCAAGCACTGTAATGTTGGAAATTGGAGTTTCAACATATGAAAAGGCTAATAGCTGTGGCTAGCGGCACAGCCATGGCATACTCAGCCCCAGGGTGCCATGGCTGTGCCGGCTCCCCACAAATAGCTGTTCCATCATCTTAGCCTACAATCTATTTTGTGTATTTTCATGTAATTATCTTTTGTTTTTAATAGCTTTTATTGAGGTATAGTTTATATAACAAAGTTTATTTTTTTAAAATATATTTTTATTGATTTCAGAGAGGAGAAAGGGAGAGATGGAAACATCAATGATGAGAATCATTGATTGGTTGCCTCCTGCACGCCCCCTACTGAGCACCGACCTGCAACCCGGACATATGCCCTTCACTGGAATTGAACCTGGGACCCTTCAGTCTACAGGCCAAGGTTCTAATCACTGAGCCAAACCAGCTAGAGCAGTCTGTTTATTTTATATATATATATATTTTATATATATACTTTTTAATTTTTATTTATACTTAAATACTCAAATTTTTTTCTTATTGATTTTGAGAGAGAGGAAAAAAACATCAATCTGTTGTTCTACTTATTTATGCATTCATTGGTTAACTCTTGTATGTGCTCTGACCAGAGATAGACCCTACAACCTTGGCGTATGAGGAAGACGCTGTAACCAACTGAGCTATCTGGCCGGGGCCACAAAGTTCGCCTGTTTTAAATGTACAAATCAATGATTATTAGTATTTTAGAGAATTGTACAGTCTTTACAACAAGCTAACTTTAGAAAATTTCCATCAGTCGAAAAAGAAACCTCAGTGCACCTTTGCAGTCACTCTCCAGCCCCTGGCCACTACTAATCTAATCTAATCTATTTTCTCAATAGGTTTATCTTCTTTGGATATTTCACTTAAATAGAATCACATCATGTATGATCTTTTGTGTCTGGCTTCTTTTCACTTAGCATAATGTCTTTGAGGTTCATCCATGTTGTAGCATGTTAAAAGTACTTCATTCCACCCTAGCTGGTTTTGCTCAGTGGATAGAGCATCGGCCTGCAGACTGAAGGGTCCCAGGTTCGATTCCAGTCAAGGGCACATGCCCGGGTTGCTGGCTCGATTCCCAGTAGGGGGCATGCAGGAGGCAGCCGATCAATGATTCTTTCTCATTGATGTTTCCCTCTCCCTTCCTCTCTGAAATCAATAAAAATATATATATTTTTAAAAGTACTTCATTCCTTTTTAGTGCATAAGAATCTTTTAAAACCCATTCATCCATTGATGGACAGCTGCACTTTTTGGTTACTTTGAATAATATTGCTATAAATTTGTGTGGACATGTGTTTTCATTTTTCTTGGTGAAATACCTGGGTGTAGAATTGCTGGGTTATATGGTAGACATACATTTAAATTTTTAAAGAAATTACTAAACTGTTTTTCAAGGTGGTGGTATAATTTTACTTTCTCAGCAGCAGTGAATTTGACAGTTACCACAAGGTTTCTTGATTGATCTGATATCTGCCTCTTGATAGCAAAATCTAAGTTTATTAAGTTCCCAGGAATATGTCCTGTTCGATGGGTTCGTATATGTGAAAATACAAAAGAAGGACATGGGCATTTCTTCTTGGGGTGGGAGTGGGTGGTCAGGAGAGGATGCATGAGGAGTACATCTTAGTTGGTCAACTAAATCTTGGAAGCCAATTACATTTACAAAGAATGAATCTACCCGTGAGAGAAAACACTTTATTTATGAAAATCTGAAGCAGTACAAAACTCAGAAGTTCCAGTTAGGTGCAACAAACATGGATATGATGCTAAGAAACTCTAGTTTTTCCATAAGTTGAATAAAATTTAAGTTTGACAGCACAGTAATCCTTAAAGCAACAATCCTGAAATTTCAACATGGCCTTGTATATTGTTAAATAAGCAAGGCTAGAATGAGCTATAGTTTTTGTTTTTAAGAATATGTACATTTGTAATACCTTAACCAGTAAAGAAATTAAAGATAAAAAAAAGAATATATTGAGTGAGATGACAATTACAAGTGAGTTGAACAAAAGGTGTGTAAGCTTGAAGAAAACCACGTGGGTAAAATTTTGATGCCATAACCAATCCATATGGCCCCTTGTTTTATTAAGATGACTAGATTCTTTGAAGGATAAAAAGGGGACTTCTCCCAGCTTACCCTTTCCATAAGTTATTACTGTTCAATTTCTACTAAAGCTTGTGTTATAATAAGCTACCTTTAGGTAAATGCTCTTGCCTAGAAGAGGACTGCAATTCTGTTAATATTAGAGCCAGGAGGGGGGAATTGACATTAAAAATCTAGGTCAAGAATCTATAGGATGGGGAAAAAAAGTATAGGATAGATCTCATTAAAATACTGAGTTGTACAGGGACTTAGGAACAAAGTTAAGAGCAGAAAAAGACCTTTTGACTAAAGGAGGAAGGACAGTATAAGAATATTTACAAAAAAGGTTCAGAATAAAGGAATATTTACAGAATGTTAAACTATTAATCTGCAGCCATAATAAGGCCCCTTCGAGTTCCCAACACCTCTGCTTTCTTCTCCTTTCGTTGTTGCTCATGTTTCTTCCGTTGCTCCTCCCTAAGAGGGACAGGTACACATTAGGCTCTAGTGAAGCTCCACAACAGACCACTTGGAAGCACTTGTTAGACAATGTCCAAACCTAAAAGATGCCTAGCACACTTGTATAAAACAGTTCTAGGCATGCTGCAGTCTGATCTGGTGGTCTGTGATGAAAATCACTGCTGTGTTAAAAGGGCTATAAATCCTAAAGTCAAGCACAGAACTGCAACCAGAAGGTACCCTGGTACCTGAACCCAACCCCTGTAGTTTTAATTGATAAATGTCTATTTCTGGAAGTCAAAGGTCAAGCTCAAAATTACACAGTCTAGTGAAAACATGGAACTAGGAACCACTGACTTAAACCACTATGTTTATATGAAAGGGATGGGGGGGGAGGCAGGGCAGGGTAGGGGAGAGAAGTCCCAGGATCATGTTAATGATCTTAATAGCAAATATAGTCATTAAAGGTTTTGGTGGCAGGTGGATGTAGGCAAGTCAAATGACAGGTAACTCTGTATCAGGAGGGTTTCATGCAGGGAGTCGACTCAACCAGGACCAGCTGCGGCCCAGGGCAAGCTCTGCCTTTAACCTGGTTTTCATACAGATGAAAGCCTCTAAGGACCATCCTGGGTTTTCCCCGTGTAGGGCCTTGAAGCCTAGTTTGCCTGGTTTCCCTGAAAGTAAAAAATTTACATTTATCTGCATAACTAGATGCCCTGGGCACTGGTATCTGGAGGGATATCAGGTGCACAGTTTGGGCAGACAGATCATGTAAAAGCAGTGCTCTGAACCGGAGTCCTCTTGTGAATGTCCCGTAGAGCAGTGATGGCGAACCTTTTGAGCTCGGAGTGTCAGCATTTTGAAAAACCCTAACTTAACTCTGGTGCCGTGTCACATAGAGAAATTTTTTGATATTTGCAACCATAGTAAAACAAAGACTTATATTTTTGATATTTATTTTATATATTTAAATGCCATTTAGCAAAGAAAAATCAACCAAAAAAATGAGTTCGTGTGTCACCTCTGACACGTGTCATAGGTTCGCCATCACTGCTGTAGAGCTTTGGAAATAATGCAGATGCTTGGGCCCCACCTCAAACCTACTGAATTAGAATCCACAATTAGAACTTTTAGAAAGTTCTATATGTGATTCCACTTCTAGCCTCTTAGACACCACTTACTGAAACTCTCTATCCCCCAGAGGTTCTGCTTTTATATACAGTCTTTCAAAATGAAAAGACTTATAGAACTGGATAATGATGTGCTCACCTGGTCTGAAGACGAGGTTGTTTGTAAGTATACTTGTGGAAGCTAACTCTGCTTACATGCTCATTCAGAGACTTATTTTCTTTAGACTGTCCCCATGGTTTCAGTTTTCCTAGTTTAGGACAGAGACAAAGATAAATTAATGAAGACTTTTGTATTTATAGTCTTAAGTTTATTCATCTGTGGCTATTTGCTTGCTGTCAACATTTATACTTTGTTTTAATAGATATTTGCCAGTGTAAGTCTTTTATTAATTTCAATTTCATATTAAGCAGATATAAATTTCAATTTTTCTCTAAATAACGTGTTCTATTTTGTTTTTTATTTATTTCAGAGAGGAAGGGAGAGAGAGAAACATAAATGATGAGAATCACTGATCAGCTGCTTCCTGCATGCCCCCTACTGGGGATAGAGCTCGCAACCCGGGCATGTGCCCTGACCTGGACTCAAACTGTGATCTCCTGGTTCATAGGTAGACGCTCAATTACTGTGCCACACTGGCTGGGCATGTGTTCTATTTGTTAATCCTTGGAAAGCCAAAGAGAAAACCTTAATGTTTTCCTCTCATCAGTGATATTTTTCTCTTTTTCTCCCTTCTTCTCTGAAATCAATAAAAATATATTAATAATAATAAAAAAAGAAAACCTTAACACTAAAAACAAAAAACAACTCCCATTACATAGCACATTAAAAGGAACCATTACAACCAAGCAGTTTATTTCAAGGTTGCATAGATATTATGTTTACCTAGTGGGCCAGTGCATGATCATGCACATTGAAAGGAAATTAATTAGAAGAAATATTTTAATATCACTATTTGCCCTTTCTCTTTAATAGAAGTGTCAACCAAATTCACGATCGACAATGACAGATCGAAACACACGCGTGCGACTGGCACCAGCAAGAGCTTTATATGTATCTCCCATGCAGGAGTCAACTTAGCCTTTTATAGATATAAAATAAACTTGCTTAATTAGACCAGCTTTCTGATTTAGCTAAACTTTTTCCAGCCCAGTGAAGCACCCCAACTTCTCTTTCAGGTAATTGTCAGCAACACAGCAGTAAATATCAACACGAAGCAAATTATTATTGTAGATCACGCAGGGAGAACAAAGGGTAAAATATTTAACTGCAGTAGTGTTTGACTATATTCTGCACAGTGAGAAAACCTGAAGTCATTTTCAGGGTCTACCATTTCTTCTTTTCAGTCAAGTTTCTAAGCTTTCTAAATATTTTTCGGTAGAAAATAGGATTCCACTGAGTCTCCTATCTACCTACTCCAGGACTTCTGTGAGGATCAAATAAGATGAGGCACAGGAAAATGCTTCATGGACATTTGGTTAAAGTGTGAAATATCCCTGTTTGGGGGCAGCATCCGGGAGGCGGTGTGGAGACCTGAGGGCCACCTACGTGGGCGCTGGGTGGGGTTCAGTCCTCGATGGGTTCTCCCAACCATGGCCAGGGGGTCACCCTCTCGGGGTCCCTGGGGCAGCCCCTCCGCGGGAATGGCTTGCTGCGCAGCTTCACCTTCCAGGTCCTGCCTCCGGAGCCCTGAGCACAGCCCAGCGTGACTCAGTGATTGTGGGAAAAAATGCAATAAAATGTGAAATGTGGGCCCTGCGACCATGAAAAAAAAAAAAGTGTGAAATATTTGCACCTGGCTATAAAGCAAATCAGGTTCCTGGGCTGATGAAAATCCAAGGAGGCTAGTTGTCGCTAGGGAGAGGAAGCCAGGCGTTGCTACGTGACGTCATTACCTGGATGGTCGGACAATTAGCATATTAGCCTTATATATATATAAACTAGAGGCCCAATGCACGAAATTCATGCAAGAGTAGGCCTTCCTTCCCCCGGCTGCCGGCACCAGCTTCCATCTGGCACCCGGGACCCAGACTTCCCTTGCAGCCCTGGCTTCATGGTCCAGAAGGAAATCCGGTCTAATTAGCATATAATGCTTTTATTATTATAGATATTAAAGTGGTATTTTTAAAAAGTGGTACTTCACCTGTACAGTTTATTACCGTTTCCTCGTAAATTATATTTGGAATAGAACAAGTGGGAATCTTTTGTTGGCTTTAGAACAAATTCCAGATGTTTAGGTATTGCTTTATTTTTATAGTTTATGACCTATGTCTGAGTACCAGTGATTATCATTTGCATGTTTCCCATTTCATAAAAATGATGTTCACACCCATCATTATCATTTAATCAATAACTATTGAAGTAGTACTTATTTTTCCTTCCATAAAGGAACTAACTGACTTGTCTAGGCTATAAAAATAATAAGCACAGATGAAGCTTTAATCCAGGTTTTCTACCATCAGCTAAAGTTGGTGTCATAGTCATTCCCACAGCAAACACTTTAGAGTTCAACTTGTATGTGCCAGGGACTGTTGTAGGAGCTGGGGACATAAGCAGTGAACCAAGTAGTCAAAATCCTTGCTTTCTTGGGCTTACATGCCAGTGGTAGAAGTAGATGACAGTAAGGGAACATAACATCAGGTGGTGACTCATGCTATGAAGAAATGTGGACCAGGCTAAGGAGTAAAGACTGGGAGGCAGGGAGTGGAGGAAAGGCTGGAATTGGTGATAGCTGAGTGGATGTCCCAGTAAAATGAGGGAGCAAGCTGTGCAAAGGTCTGTGGCAACAATATTCCAGGTGGAGCAGAGGGATACAATGCAAAGACCTGGAGGTGGGAATGAGCTGGGTGTGTCTGAGGAACTGAAACATCAATGTGTTTGTCCCAAAGTCAGGGAAGGAAGGAGGCGGTGACTGAAGTTGGGAAAGAGATGGGAAACCTCAGGAGATTCTGAGCAGGGCAGTGATGTGCTCTGTTTGTTTTTTAGGTTGTGGGGCAAAGAGGCTATTCTAGAAGCCCAGGTAAATGATGATGATGACCTGGACCAAAGGGAGCCACAATGGAGGGGTGAAAGTGGTCTGATTAAAGATTTTTTTCAAAGGTAAAGGTAAAAGGACTAGCTGATGGGCTGGAGATGATGTCTAAGAAAAAGTGAGGAGCCAAGACTCCTAGGTTTCTGCCCCGAAGACTCAGTAGATAACTCAGCAGAAAAAGGTGTCACTGCCACAGATGGGAAAACTTGGGGGGAAAAATGGGTGAGTGAGAGAAGTAGATGCATTTTTACCACAACTAAATAAGATTTATGTTTTCATTATATGTTTCATTGACATTCGTAATTTAAAGATAAACATTACATAAACATGATTATTGTAGGAAGCTTTTTAAAAAAATAATTCCAAAAGCACAAAAGATAGATCACATTAAGTATTGATATATTTTATAGATGTAAGAATACTTTAATATATGCTCAAAGACATCTGGCCAATGAACATCCCAGTTGTTGGACCGGTGGTTCCCAGCAGCCTGGGATCCTTTGATAGCTGTAAAGAAAACATTCATTAACCCACAGGCTCACTTCTAAGTTTCTTGATTTTGGCTGAAATTTTAATTCTTTGTAGTAACATTGATTATAAATTATGTCTTTGTTTATCAAAAATGTAAGTGAATCAGTTATTTAATATTTGCTTAATTGACATTCTTTTTAATCATGAGGAACGGGGGCAGGAATTCTAGGCGGTCAAGTAAGGTTTCCATCTGAGTCACAGCCTCAGTGGGAAATGAGTTGATCTTAGGTCTTTGCGTGTCTTGCACCGCAAAACATCCCACATACCTTTGTGTGGCTCATAGTTGAGGGGACGAGACAAACTTGCTTTGAGATCAAACACTGGTTTCTTGTTGGAGACTGGAGTCTGTGCTGCTTCAGCTGAAAACTTGAATGGGGTAATAACTAAAAAAGCCAACACAAAACCCAAGGGCTTGATTAGAGAAAAAAAAAAAAAACACGTTATAGTTTTTTATTAAAGTATCACTTCTCAATCTTAAAAATATAATCTATGTGAAAAGTCCAAGACAAATGTAAGGTTAAAAGGAGGAGAAAAGAATAACTGAAGAAAGTTAACCACTGAGATCTGTTTCCCGTTAGCTTCTCCCCAAATAGTCTAAACATTACGAGATTTCCTAGGATCAGCTGGGAGTTTAGAATCCTGTTTAAAGAATTTCCCTGATATTATTTACCCTTCTTAAAAATGATATATTACTAATAGTAATATTTTCATTAATACAGACATAAAGCCTGCAAGGAACCTAAATCACATAAATGGAAGAGATTCATGGCTTTGTTTGTTATTAATAACAAGGGTATCTATATGGCTTATTCTGCCTCACCCAGTCCACTAGTCAATAGTGTGGCACTGACTCCATGAACTCTGGGATCCTGTTCGTTTCAGAGTCCTGCAGGCCACTGGAGGCTGTCATGGTCCTCCCCATCCCTGGGTCTGAGAAGGGGCCGAATGCCCTTCAGGGAGGGTCACCATCTTAGGACTCCTCTTGGACGGGATGGAGTCCTCAGGCAGACACTAGTTTTTTGTTAGTGATTCTAGCATGTCCCTCACTCATATACAATGAAAAATACACTATGGGGAAATGTTTGCTTTTGATTTTACAGATATGGAGAGGCTTAAGGAAACAGATAAACTTAATTTCAGAAAATTACATGGCTTAAAGATGAACCAATTCATTTTTTACCTGTAGCAGAATCCCTCTTTGTGGCCTTTAACTTGTTTGTCCCAAGCACAGCCTGGCCTTTTGGGGTATTCCCAGATATGGACACATGTGGAGACTTTCTGGCTGGAGTCTTGGTCAGTGAACGTTTGTATTCATTATCTTTAGTAGCAGCTGAAAACCTAAATAGGACAGTGGATACAAGACATGAGTAATGTTAAGAGTAACTGTGTCAAGCTTATAAACAAAGCCACTTGTCCATCACCAAGCAGTGAAAGGGCCCCCATGCACCAACTTGATCCCCAGGAGGCAGCCGTTCATTTGTGTAAATACTGTTACACAAATGAACCTCCTTTGCACAATAGAGATGCTCTTAAAACACTTATGTTAAAGCAAATCATTTATCAACTTTTGTTATTTATAAAACACTAGAGGCCCAGTGCATGAAATTTGTGCACTGGAAGGGTCCCTAGTGGCTGGCAGCGGCTGGCCAAGTCCTCCCTCCCTTCCCCCAGTCACCTGCCACTGGCCAAGGCCTCTCTCCCTTCCCCCAGCCGGCCCTGTCCCCTGGTTGAAATCCCAGAAGAACTTCCGGTGGAGGGGACAATTTGCATACTACGCTTTTATTATATAGGATGGCTTGTATTCTCTTTTCACCCAGCATTGGCCAATGACAGCATAAGCCAGAGCTCCAAGGAGATGCTTGCAGGCCTCAAGTTACAGATTAGCAGGTACTCGAAGAAGCTTCCCTTATTTCTCCTCTTCCCGATGATGGCAAGTTAGAGGGAATAGAAGATTGCTCTGCCAAATGGGAACAGACCTTACATCTTCCTAAAATAATATTCATTTGAGTGGTACATAAACCCATCTTCTACTCATAGCAAACCGCCACAATGTATTTCATTGATTCTCTGATGCATAGTTTTCCTACATTTTAACATAACTGAAATTGGGATGTGTTTTACAATGATAATATGTCATAGTTGGCAATGACTTTTCTTACTGGTTCATAAAATAATGGTGACTCCTCAGTGTCTTACATTCAATGAATATCTACTAATGACAGATATAAATACATATAGGGTTGGTGATGGGGTGTTAACAGGGGACTTCTGGACTTATAATTTGATGGTGATCCTGAATCAACACCCAAAGACTCTAACAGGAAAACTGGCTGCGCTAGGATAGATGTGAAGTCCAGACTATTCTGTAGATTGCAATGAAACAAAGGCTAGCACCTGACCATGGTGTTCTAATAGCATTAAATACAATCAGAACTGCCAAGTATAGGTACCTCATATTCCAAGCTAACTCATCTAAACCGAAGGGCATTTTTAAGATTTAAAAACTATATTAGTTCTGGCCAGTGGCTCAATTGGTTGGAGCATCATCCTGTAGGTTCGATTGCAGGTTCACTTCGCAGTCAGGGCACATGCCCGGATTGTGGGTTCCATCCTTGGTTGGGGCGAGTACGGGAGGCAACCAATCAATGTTTCTCTCTCACATGTATGTTCTCTTTCCCCCTTCCTTTCTCTCTCTCTAAAAAAAAAAAAATCCATAAACATATCTATAGGTGAGAATAAAAACAATGTCAGATAATTGCACATGTTGGGGATATGTTACCATGCACCAACTCTATTAGATGCTGCAGATGCTCTTAAAAAAGGAGAGAATAAAATTTTGGTATTAAAAGAAAGGATAATGCCCTAACTGGTTTGGTTCAGTGGATAGAATGTCAGCCTGCAGAATGAAGGGTCCCGGGTTTGATTCCAGTCAAGGGCACATGCTGGGGTTGTGGGTTTAATCCCTTGGAGGCAGCCGATCAATGATTCTCTATCATCATTGATGTTTCTCTCTCTCTCTCTCTCTCTCTCTCTCTCTCTTTCTCTCTCTCTCTCCCCCCCTCTCCCTTCCTCTCTGGAATGAAAAAAAAAAAAAAAGCATGAAAATCTTGTTTTTTTTTTTTTTTTAAGAGAGATTGGAAGAGAGAAGGAGAGACAGAGAGAAACACCGATGTGAGAGAGACACATCGATTGGTTGCCTCCCTCATGCCCCTGACCAGGGCTGGGGAACCTGCAACCCAGGTATGTGCCCTTGACCGGAATAGAACCTGGGACCCTTCAGTCCACAGGCTGATGCTCTATCCACTGAGCCAAACCCGCTAGGGCAAGCATGAAAATCTTCATCTGTACGTACAGTAGTAGTTGAGGGGCATCCTGATGTCAGGAAACGTACAAGCAAACAAAACAGGGATCAGTGGGCATGAGATAGCTATCATACTGCAATGCCCAATGGGTTAGAGTATTTCTACTTTAGGACAAGTCCATTTTTTAATTCACTGCATTGAGAGATTTTTCTATAGGAATTTAGCTGCAACTGTGTGTTCAAGTCAATAAAAAAATTTCTCTTTACACATATTTGCAAGTGTAGATTAAAATGAAAAATATTCATATATATCTTATTTTCTATCTTTACTTATACTAGTAAATCAAATGTGAGCTTAGGTAAGTTGCCTAAACAAGGAAACGAAATACAAATTTAAAGAAAAATATTAGGACTTATAAAAAAGCCATTTGCTGATCCTTCTCTCTGTTCTGATCCTCTTTCTCATTTTTTTTTTTTTATTCTTCACCTGAAGATATATGGGTCCATTGATTTTAGAGAGGGGAGGGGAGGGGAGGGGAGGGAAGAGAGAGAGAGAGAGAGAGAGAGAAACAAACATCGATCTGTTGCCTCCGGCATGTGCCCTGACTGGGAATTGAACACGCAATCTTTTTTAGTGTAGGGGAAAACACTCCAATGAACTGAACCAACTGGCCAGGGTTTGTTCTTTTTTTATCAACATGAAAACATTTGATGTAGTCCACCTGAAATGTATTAGAAGCTATAAAGTTTTGAGACCTTGTCCTCCGTCACATTTTGGAGTTCTTTACCTGACATTCATTTTAGTTGCTGAGAGAGTGGAACGCTTGACCGACCCCTTCATATACAAGGTGCTCAGATCTGCAGCACCCTGGGCCGGGCCTGGTGAGCGCTGCTGGCTTGAGGGAGTACAAGCCATAGAAAATCTTCTTTGGAGACCCACTGGAGTTGCCACCACTTCCTTAGTTATGGAACGCTTCTGAGAAAGGAAAATACATTATTAAAGCTGGACCTCGCCCTGACTGGTTTGGCTCAGTGGACAGAGCATCAGCCTGCGGACTGAAGGGTCCCAGGTTCAATTCCGATCAAGGGCACGTCCCCAGTAGGGGTGTGCAGGACGCAGCTGATCGGTGTTTCTCTCTCATCGATGTTTCTAACTCTCTATCCCTCTCCCTTCCTCTCTGTAAAAAATCAATAAAATATATATTAAAAAAAAAGCTTGACCTCTTGGACAGTATTGTGACCTTGGCAAAGTGCAGAAGAGCGCTCCCATTTATTTCCCCCCCCCCACCCCTTTCATCTCCCGCCCCCGTCATCCCCACTTTGCAACCCAGCGATCATCCCTTCCTTCTGCATTACTTCATCCTATCCTACCTGCCTGGCTTGCTGGGCAGTTTCCTATACCTGTGTTGCTATGGTGACGGATTTAATAGTAACTTCTGGTTGTGCTGAGTAAGGTGTTACAGAAAGCCCTTCCCAAGTCCCCAGGTATTTTCTAACTAGAGAAAGAATGTGGCTTAAACAGACTCTGTGGCCAGAAAGAAAGAATAAATAGGTTCTCTTGGGCATATGGTAACTTTGAGAGCATGATATGGAGTTTATTAAATACTAACTCAAAGAATTTATTACATAATTAGTATGTAGAATCTATAAGTAATTTCACCCCTACTTCTCCCACCCTCCATAATGTTTTTTATAGGTTTTTATTGATTTCAGAGAGAAGGGAGAGAGAGATAAAAACATCAATGATAAGAATCACTGATTGGGTGCTTCCTGCATGCCTCCTACTGGAGATTGAGCCTATAACCTGGGCATGTGCCCTGACCAGGAATCAAACTATTACCTCCTGGTTCATGGGTTGATGCTCAACCACTGAGTCGCACCAGCCAAGCAGCAATAAAAATCTTGTTTTAACAAAGCAAATAACTCAATCATATCATACACAAAAATAAAAACATGGGATTAAACATAGGGAAAAAATAACAAAACAGTAAATATAAATGTAAGAGCACATTTTTATGATCCTGGGACAGGTAGTGCATGAAAACAACTCAGAGCCTTAAAATGAAAAGTTGGATAGATTTAACTAAAAATAAAACAAAAACACCTTCCACACGGTAAAATACACTATTAATATAGTGAAAAGATAAACTGTGGGTAAATATTTATAACATATAATATATATCATTAAATAGATTAATGGCTCATAAATATGCAAAAAATTTAAATAAGCAAATTCAAAGAAAAACAGCCAATTATAACATACTAGAGGCCTGGTGCACGAAATTCCTGCATGGGAGGGGGAGGGTGTCCCTCACCCCAGCCTGCACCCTTTCGCAATCCAGGACCCCAAGGGTACGGTCCCTAGGCCTGGCCTATTAGGGCTTTCCTTCTCCTGGCTGCCAGCAGCTGGCCCTGCCCCCACTGCTGCCACTGCACCTGTTTGCCATCAGTGCGGTGCTGTACCCCCCCCTCACACCCCCCACCACAGGTTGCCTCCCTGTGCAGGCCACAGGTGTGGGTATGATCGCTTGGCTGGCCTGGGCCTCTGCAGGGCGATTGCTGGCCGGCCCTGCACACCTGCCACAGCGTTGCAGGCCGGTGGCCTGGGCCTCTCTCGGTGAGGCGATAGATCACAGGGCCCCCAGATCGCCCACAGAGGGAGGCCCCGCCCACCCAGCCTAGGCTCTGAGGCTGGGGCTCCACAATCAATCACCGCACAGAAGGTTGCCTGGGCTTCCCTCTGTAGTCTGATGGCGGGGCCATCCGATCAATCACATCACACCTGCCTTGGCTGGCCTGTGTGTGTCATAGCATGGTCATCCGGAAGGCCGTCTGAACGGTCATTCTGCTGTTCAGTCGATTTGCATATTACGTTTTTATTGTAACTAGAGGCCTGGTGCATGAAATTCATGCGGGGGGGGGGGGGGGTAGTCCCTCTGCCTGGCATGCACCCTCTCCAATCTGGGAACCCTTGGGGGCAGTTGGACATCCCTCTTGCAATCCGGGACCGCTGGCTCCTAACCGCTCACCTGCCTGTCTGCCTGATCGCTCCTAACTACTCTGCTTGTCTGCCTGATGCCCCTAACTGCCCTCCCCTGCCTGCCTGATCACCCTTAACTGCCCTCCCCTGCCAGCTGATCACCCCTAACAGCCTCTGCCTTGGCCCCCACCACCATGGCTTTGTCCGGAAGGACGTCCAGATGGATGTTCAGAAGATATCTGGTCTAATTAGCATATTACCCTTTTATTAGTATAGAAGGTATATAACAAACATGTAACAGAATGATCAGAGAAATTCAATTGGGATATTTTTCATATTATCAAAGGTTTTAAAAATTTTTCATTACTACAGTTAACAAAGTAAACAGGTATCTCAGGGCACAAGTTTTCTGATCTTTGCAGAGGGCCATTTGGCAACCAAATCAAATAGGTGTCCCTTGTCTAATCATGAAAGTCAAGGAAAGATTGGTCACAGCTAGGATGATTCTTTCTAGGATCTTTGCTCATTTATTACTGTCACTACCTAGATGACTAATCCCCAAACTTCATATCAGCTATATCAAAGTCATGTAATTATTTTTATTCTCTGGTCTCCAAATAGGTCATACTAAATAACCTATCTGATAGGCCAATTCCTTAAATCATGGGGGTAAGGAAGGATTTTAGAAGTAAACTCACTCAGATGGGGCTATCACTAAAAAATAAGATACTCATTTATATTCAACTGTGAATGTAGTGATGGCCCTTGCTAATATTTATGAAAGTATTGCGGACACTCTAAATATCTCCTCTCTGGATTCTCCACCCACATTGTTGAGCGGTATAAAGGAATGGAGATGTTTAATGCCATGACTTGGCTTTGTCACTGTTTCCTTGAAGGCTGATAAACAGTGTCTTCGACTGTATGACAGTGGTTTTATGAATCTTTTTCAAATGAATGTTTATTACCCAAGATTAAACTTCTCATGAAGAAGCTTATGGGAGCCCTGACCGGTTTGGCTCAGTGGATAGAGCGTCGGCCTGCGGACTGGAGGGTCCCAGGTTTGATTCCAGTCAAGGGCATGTACCTTGGTTGTAAGCACATCTCCAGTAGGAGGTGTGCAGGAGGCAGCTGATCAGTGGTTCTCTCTCATCGATGTTTCTAACTCTCTATTCCTCTCCCTTCCTCTCTGTAAAAAATCAATAAAATATATTTCTTTTAAAAAAGAAGCTTATGGGATTTGTGTGTTTGTGTGTCTGTATGTGTATGTGTGTGTGTGTTACTATTTAGAATTTATCACCCAGTGCATTTCCCTGTTGGCAGAAAACTAAAAACTCAACCAAGTGACTGATATAATAGACAATGTACCTGCTAACAGTGTTCATTTCCTGCCCTATTTATTTATTTATTTATTTAATATATATTTTTATTGATTTCAGAAAGGGAGTGGGAGAGATAGAAACATCAATGATGAGAGAGAATCATTGGTGCCTCCTACACACCTCCTACTGGGGATCGAGCCTGCAACCCAAGCCCAAAACCTGGGCATCTGCCCTTGATCAAAATGGAACCCAGGACTCTTCAGTCCATAGGCCGATGCTCTATCCACTGAGCCAAACTGGCTAGGGCTTCTGCCCTTTTTAAATCAACTTTACACTGTTTTGTGTTGTAATACCACAAACTGCCTCAAATACTTTTGAAGAAATAACGCAGGTGGTTAAGTATTATTAAAAATTCTAAAATAAATGTTTCCCTAGCCTCCTTTGGACACCAGATACCATGTAAAATAATAGCATCAACTTCCGAGGACGTTATCAGCTCCCCACTCCAGTAACTCAACTGTGGAGCTTGACTTGATCACCTTTTCTTACTTGAAGGGGCCCTGAGTCCAGTAGGACCTGGACTGAAGGTCCAGTGGGGGGCTCAGTAATCACTGAGAGCCTTTAAGTTAGCCACTGCTAGTCACCCTTTCTCCTTTAGGTAAGAGACAGGGAAGGAAGATGGCTTCGGCTATAATTATAGCAGTCCACCCTCAACAAAGGGGATAGGCACAATGTCTGAATGTGGGAAACAGAATAACTTATTTCCACTTTGGAATTCATTCTGTATAGTGAGGACTGTTTATCTGAAGGGTTTTGAAAATTCTCATGGTAGGGGAAAGCAATTTAAGATAATAAAGATGCATTAAACTCAAATCCATTCCATGAATCCATCGAAAGCTGGCTATATTAACCATGCTGTATATACGGTACCAAGATTAAAACCAAGTATTTTAGTCCCATTAAGAACATAATTACCTTCAGTTCATTAAGTGAATTGTGTTGTTCAAAATTTTTCTTTTTTCTCTTAATATATTGATCAATGGACTCCATTTCCTTAAAATGGGCCTCATGAAGCTTCTTAAAGTCTAGAACATTCCACAAAATATGAAAATTAATAACAAAATCCATTTATTTACCTTCCCTTAGTTTTCCTATAAACACTTATTCTCTCCTCTGCATTCCTAACATTCAGTTTCAGTATCATCTTTGTCAAAACTTTAATTTGAAACATTTAGAACATTTAGTTTTTGGAAACTCAGTGCACATCTATCTTAAAAACAATTCAATATTCACCATCTCTCCATTGTGCGACTGCTAATTGACATCTTGATTTTGTCTAGGGGATAAGAAAAGAATAACATATTTGTCCTCTCCCCCTCACCAATTAATCAAATGGCCTTATTTTAATCATAAATTTGATGTTTTACAATGCTTAGAAAACGCTATGCCAAGCATTGGCACACTTTTTCTGTAAAGTGCAGACAGGAAATAGGCTTTGTGACCACAAATGATATGGTCTATCTGATTTTCTTCTTTTTTTCATAGAACCCTTTTTAAGTGTAAAAGTCATTCTTAGCTCAAGGGCTAGAATACAGGCCAAGGCGAGCAGTAGTCTGCTGACCCCTCTTCTGTACTATTCTAAGTATATATTCTAAATATATATTCTGAGTAAGAAATAGGGAAGAAGAATTACATGCCCCAAAATGAGTCCCTTAGACTAGCGGTTGCCAACCAGTGGTCCGTGAGGTCTGAAAGGTTGGTGACCACTGGTTTAAGGAAACCTTTGGAGCAGCGATCGCCAACCGGTGGTCCACGGACCACTGGTTGCCCATGAGGTCCAAAAGGTTGGCGACCGCCGCCTTGGACTTTTTTTTTAAGTAATTTATTATGAAGTGGACACTATGCCAAGTACTTTACAGACATCCATTCTCTGATATTTAGTGAATACCTGCTACATGTTAGTTACTATGCTAGGTAATCAGAAGTGGAAAATAGACTCAATTAATCTATATATCAACCTGATGAAATAGGCAGTACAACTATTGTAACGTTCAACTGAAGAAGTGATTTACTGAGGATAAATAAGCTGCCCAAAGTCTCCCAGCTAGAAAGTGGGAGAACGCAGATGCCAGCCCCAGTTCCGGCATCCCAGCTTTTAGCTGTGACAGTACACTGACTCTCCAACACCAGCCTGCAAAACTTACTTGGAGTAGTAGTTGCAATTCTTTTATTTTTTCCAGATTTAGAAAACCCATCTGTGTAGACAGACTTCTTTCTTTCTGAAGGTACCTTTGAATCTTCATTACCTGAATACAAAGATACAGAACCAATGAAAAGACTTTAACAAATGTCACGAGAATATTCATGTGATAGGCTCTGCCAAGGTGGTGGGAGAAATGGCACACGAGGAGCACGACTGACTTACAGCATCACTAACATTGAGCTCATATGCCTAAACTAGGCAGAAATTTTGCTTCCTATATAGAAGTTGTATCAAAAATTTAAAAACACTTTTCCATAACTTTGCTATAAACATGTTATTATAACTAGAATGATAAAAAGCACACAACCGCCCTAACCGGTTTGGCTCAGTGGATAGAGCGTCGGCCTGCAGACTGAAGGGTCCCAGGTCCAGTCAAGGGCATGTATCTTGGTTGCGGGCACATCCCCAGTAGGGCGTGTGCAGGAGGCAGCTGATCAATGTTTCTCTCTCATCGATGTTCCTAACTCTCTATCCCTCTCCCTTCCTCTCTGTAAAAAATCAATAAAATATATTTAAAAAACAAAAACACACAACCCCACCAGCCTAAGACACATCATTAGCATTCTGGCATGTTTCCTTGGGTCCTTTGCTTCTGTACAGGAACATCTCTGAGATACTGAGGGTTCTGTTCCAGACCACTGCAATAAAGCAAGCAGTAATTTTTTGCCTTGAATTTGTAAAAAAATTGCAACATCTGTAGAGGCAATAAAGCAAAGCACAATAAAGATAGGTATGCCTATACTTGTTTCGTTTTTGTTCTTTAAATTCACTTGAAATCATGAAGTATACAAGGTCTACTATTTTCCCCACTAATAATCATTTTTCAGCTTGAGGTAATCTAAAAATATGTAAATGAAATTTCAAGTAATACTACTTATAAAGTCATCATCTTTCAGGTTCCCTAATGTATCCATTAAACAAGGCAAAGAATATTCCATAGAGCAGTTGGGGCTCCAGGGGCTTCTGCTTGGACCCTGGCTCTAAAGCCAGAGAGAGCCGGCTGGAGTGGCTCAGTTGGTGAGACCGTCGTCTCGTACACCAAAAATTTGTGGTCAGGAAACATACCTGGGTTGCAGGTTCAATCCCTGGTTGGGGAATGTACAGAAGGCAACCAATTGATGTTTTTCTCTCTCTCCCTGCCATTCTTTAAGCATGTCCTTGGGTGAGGATTAAAAACAAAACAAAACAAAAAACAGAGAAAAATTCTGTGAAAAACAGGATATTTAGAGTCAGGGTCACTCCTCACAAGGTATTTATTAATTACAAATGGAAAAATAGTAACTTTACAGGGAAGCAGTGTAGCAGATACCACCATCACCCGGTGATAGAACTTAACATGACTAGTGACAGGACAAACCAACACCTGTGCCTTCTGGGGTGAAAGACACATCCCTCGGCCAAAAGTGCATGATCTGAATCTAATCATCAGCACATTAGACAAACCAAGTCAGAGGATCCCCCCAAAAAACCTGCCTATACTAAAAAATGTCTACATCCGGAAAGACAAAGGAAGACTGAGAAACTATTCCAGATTAAAGTAGGCTAAAGAAACATGACAATGAAATGCAAAGGATGAGCTGAGATTTCCTGTTTTGAGATAACTGATGGAATTATTGGAATATGTGGATAGAATTATTGGGATAATAAGTTTCTAACACAAAAATGAGTGGCTTTTTAAGAAAATTTATTTAATATTTGACTTATACAAGGCAGCTGGATTCTCTTACCTACTTCTGTAGATAATATGTTACATATTTTGGTTGATATATATAATGAAAAGAAATCTTGCCACACACAGATGTGTGATTGAAAGGGAAGAGTATTTTAATAACCTTTTCAGATAATTGTGATATTCTTTTTTGATACTATACCATAACTTGACAAGTAGTGGTGTCCTAAATGTTAGTTGCAACATGGAATATGAAGCCAAGTCAATGAACCTTTTGTACTCTGTACATTTGTGAGAGGAAGTCCCTGTGTTTTGAGAAACACACACTGAAGTATTTAGGGCAGTGGTTCCCAAGCTTTTTTTGGCTATGTCCCACCTAAGCATCTCTAAAATCCTGATGCCGCACCCCCCAACTCCATGACATATAATTCTTATTATTCAAAAAGTGAACTCCTACTCATATGGAGGAAGCCTAAAAGGCCATTAACTTGTTCTAAACAAGCTTCCAAAGAACATGGCATCCATGAAAGAAAAAAATAAAAGAATGAAAGGACAGTTGAAGTACTGAGGAAGAAATCACTAAGAAATTGTTTAAAAAAATATGAAATCATATAAAAAATAGCAAATAAAGTTTCAAAACATATAATAGAGAACTGAAATGCATAAATGTGTCACAATATAGATTTATACTAGTGGCCCAGTGCACAAAATTCATACACATTAAAAGAGAATTAATTAGAGGAAATATTTTAAAATTGCTATTTACCCTTTCTCTATAATAGAAGTGTCCAGCCGGCCCCACCCCCATTGGACAACATCAAGACCCGGCCGGGCCCACCACTGTCAAGCCCACCGGATGGGGGAAACAGCCTCACATCCTGGTGCCCAAGGGCGCGGCTTCAGGTATCCTGGCCCTAGAGCCACGCAGTCTCAGGTCCCTGCTGATCGTTTGTTATGGTGTCACAGTGTGACTACTATTTGCATATTAGCTCTTTATTATATAGGATACTGTATATGAGGCCCCTAGAACCATAATGCAAAAAATTCATTAATAACTCATTCTCAAATTGTCCCCGCTTAAAAATCTTAAAAATCAAATTGCCCCCCTTTGGGGCATGTGCCTCAGGTTGGGAACCACCAATTTAGGGTAAAAGAGCACATATCTGCAGCTTACTCTCAAACAGTTCAGGAAAAAAATGTATACCACACATATATGTATATATACACACATATATTTATGTATATACATATATACATTTATATATATACACATATATTTATGTATATACATATATGTATGTATATACATAAATACATAAATATAAACAGAGAGGAAATAATGTAGTAAGTGTTAACATTTGGGAAATCTAGGTGAAAAAGACATAGGAATTCTTGGTATTATTCTGCAACTTTAAGTCTGAAATTATGTCAAAATAAAAAGTTAAAAAAAAATTCTCTCACCAGAAACTAACTATATGATCAAATTTTTCTCCTTCAAACAGCTTATGTTTCATTAGTCAAACCTGACTTAATGGATCCACACTCAGTTTTTCTATGGCATCGAAACTTAGTCCTAAAGCTACATCTTCTGGATAAAATAATTGGTGGAATAGCAGACATTTGTAATTCTACCCCCACTTTTGGCTCTTTGTCATACTCCCTAACAACTTTCTCTAAATCATGGTTTTAAAATGGGTATGTGAGGCATATGCATGAAAAGACAAAGGAGCTCTAGTTGATTTTGCTCAGTGGTCAGAGCCTCGGCTCACAGAGGGAGGGGGAGGGGGAGGAGGAGGAGGAGGAGGAGGAGGAGGAGGAGGAGGAGGAGGAGAAGGAGAAGGAGGAGGAGGAGGAGGAGAAGGAGAAGAAGAAAGAAGGAAGAAGGAAGGAGAAGAAGGAAGGAGAAAGAAGGAAGGAGGAAGAAGGAAGGAGGAAGGAGGAAGAAGGAAGAAGGAAGAAGAAGAAAATGAAAAAATATCCTCGGGTCAGTATTATTAAAAAAAAAACAAACACAAGGGAAGTGTAAAACCTGGGGTGCTTATTGAAAACTGCAGACACCCAGACTTATCTTAGACCTACTGAATCAGAACCTCGACCTCCTGGAACTGTATTTAGTAAGAAATGCAAAATTATGGGGGAAATGGGAAGGCTCAGCATTAGAAATTCTGCATTTAAATGCTTGTTGGACACTGGACCAGGCAATTGACTGTTGAAATTGGCAGGCTTCCTCAGGAAGGAAATCAGAAAGCAGAAGTCCTGTTAGGTATACAAGAATTGAAGTTTTCTGATCTTATTGAAACAAACTTTTAGTTGAGAAGTTTAGGGAAGAGGTTTTTAGAAGGTTAGAATCTAAGAAGGATATACAAACACTAGGGGCCCAGTGCACGAATTTGTGCACCTTGAAAGGAACTGTGGGCTGTGAGGCTGCGGTGGGCACAGGGGCGGTTCTCAGCCCATCCTCTGTGCCCCCACCCGGCCCCTCCAGCCATAGCTCCTGGTCCCCTGTCTGCAGGCAGCCCCGCTCCTGCCAGATGCCGCTCCCACGCACTAATGGCCCTGGCCACACTCACACCTGCTGAAGGAGCAGAGCCATTGGGGCTGGCGCCAGCAGGGGATGCGAGCAGGACCGGCACTGTCAGTGGGTGCAAGCGGCAGGTGCTGCCCCGATGGCCCCTCAGGAGCAGGGAGAGGTAGAGAAGCCCTCAGGGGCAATCGGGGCCGGCAGCCACCGCTCGCACCTGCTGACGGCACCGAGCGATCAGGGCTGGCACTGGGGTCCAGCAGCAGGTGCTAGCGGCAGCTCCGATGCTGGCTTCAGGTGTGAGCGGGGCTGGCACCAGCAGCAGGTGCAAGCACCAGGCAGGACCACGGCACATGGGAGCAAAGAATTTTCAGTAACCAATAGAGGCTCGCCCCAATGACAGCGGCTGACACCCGCCTTGGTCTGGCGCCCCCACTCACCTGCTCTGCCATCCCACCACGGCCGACGCCCACCATGTTCTGTGCGCACCCCCTGGTTGTCAGCATACGTCACAGCAACCAGTTGTTCAGCTGTTCTGCTATTTGGTCTATTTGCATATAAGGGATGGAGATATATATATATATATATCATAATTTTAAAAAGGCCACACCACTGGGAAGGTAGACTTTGCAGCTCCCTTTCAATTATGCTGATCAGGCAAACAGGTCTTTGCACCTGTCTTGGGAGTAAGCCAGAAGGAACTAATGAACAAAATGCTGGCTCTCCTCATCACTGAGTAGAGATTAAATCTCTAAACTTCCCAGCTACCACTTTTATTCTGGTTTTTAAAATTAATAAAGATGATCTGATGGCCTACTCTATTTGGTTCAAACTTTTACTTTAATTGTCAAACCCTTGTAAGTCCTATAAAATGGTGTTATGGGTTGAACTATATCCCCCCCAAAAGATATGCTAGGATATTAACCTCCAGTAACTGTGATATAACCTTATTTGTAAACTAGAGGCCCGATGCATGAAATTTCTGCAAGAGTGGGCCTTCCTTCCCCTGACTACCAGCACTGGCTTCCCTCTGACACCCAGGACCTGGGCTTCTCTCACAGCCCTGGCTTCATCTGGAAGGTCATCCAGAAGGACGTCCAGTCTAATTAGTATATTACACTTTTTATTATTATAGATTCTTGGTAGATGTCATCAAATTATGATGAAGTCATTAGGGTGAAAACCCTAATCCAACAGGACTGGTGTCCTTTTTTAAATCCTCAACTGAGGATATTTCCCCCATTGATTTTGAGAGAGAGTGGAAGGGACGGATGGAGAGAGAGAGAGAAACATTGATATCAGGGAGACACATTGATTGGTTGCCTCCCACTCATGCTCTAACCAGGATTGAGGATTGAGCCTACAACACAGGTACATGCCCTTGACCAGAATCAAACACGGGACCTTCCCAGTCTGCGGGCTGATGCTCTATTCACTGAGCTAAACCGGCTAGGGCAAGACTAGTGTCCTTTAAGACAGAGAGAATGCTATAAAACAGACTAATTTAGCTGCAAGCCAAGGAACACAGGATCAATTGCCACCACTAAATGTTAGACTAGGCCAGGCCAGATTCTATCCAGGGTTTAGAAGGAGAATGGCCCTACTGACACCTTGATTTCAGAAGTCCAGCCTCCAGAACTGTAAGAGAATAAATATGTTATTTTAAGCCACTCAATTTGTAGCACTTCATTATAGCAATCATAGGAATCTAAGGCACATGCTGCCCTAGCAGTTCTGGATTTTTTTAGTTACTTGGCATACCATTTATTCCACTATTTCCCGAGGACATTGCATTCTCGTTTCCTTGTCTCTCATCTGGTGGAGATGGAACTTCTGCAACAGGTGTGAGAGCCTGGTTTTCCTGCTTTTCTTGATTCTGGAACTCAATGGGATCACTTGATTTTATCTCTGAATGATCCTGCTACAAATGGAAAAAGGAAATAAACGATTTAAATAATAAATAAGAAGTCATCACATTTGAAAGTTGCTAAAAGGGTACATACATCTTAAAAGAAAAATATTTTGTAACTATATATGGTGATGGATATGAACTAGAATTATGATGCTCATTTCCCAATATATACAAAAATCGATCGAATCATTCAATTGTACACCTGAAACTAAATTAATCTTATATGCCAATGATATCTCAATTTAAAAATATGCCATTAAAAAATTGAAAACATTGCTTATAGTCAGATATTTAAAAAAAGAAGTAATCACTACCTTCAAAAGATGAATACCAAGCCCTAGCCGGTTTGGCTCAGTAGATAGAATTTTGGCCTGTGGACTGAAGAGTCCCAGGTTCAATTATGGTTACGGGCATGTACCACAGTTGCAGGCTCCTCCTTGGCCTGGGCCCTGGTCAGGGCACGTGCTGCAGGCAACCAATCGATGTTTTTCTCTCTGTCTTTCCCCCTCTCTTTCACTATCTCTAAAAATCAATAAAAAAATAAATGAATACTTTAAAAAAAAGATGAGTACTTAGCTGAGGGGGAAAGGTGTTAAAGAAAAGTAGAATAAGATTTCGATTGGCAGGTTTGTTCTCTGCCCCATCAAGTGTCACAAGAGTGTGAATCATGGACTAGGAGATACTAGGGACCACTGAAAGGCATAAATGGCAAGATTAACTCTTAGGGATGAGAAACTAACACTAAGAGACCCCAATAGGCTACCAACTAAGGGACTGTACAAAGCTAGCAAATAAATACTAGGACTAAGCACTGTAAAAACTGTTTGAATGAAAGGATAATATAATCAGAGTCCTCTCAAAGCAAGTGAGGGAAGCCCCTGCAATCACCTGACCTTGCTGCTAAGAATAATGTGACCACCAGGTCTAAGACAGGCTAGGAGAGAGGGGGGAAAATCATATTTAATGTCGGTTTCTTTCCTTTGTATTTACTACACCTCACTTAAAAAACTCTTAATGAAGGTTTGTATTTCTTCAACAAATATTTACTCTCTGCTTAGACTTAACAAGTGCTTCCTGAGTGCAAGTGCCTGGGGCAAGGTGATGAGCAGCCTAGACTTGGGGCTGTGCATTCATGGAGCTTACAATACACAGTGTTTACCACTACCGATAGCATAAGAGAATTGACAAAAAATTCCCTAAGAATATGCCAATTTTGGCACAGGTGGTGGCTTTTCAGTTTGCACACCTCCATTTACCTGGGAGTCAGGATTGCTGTGGACAGTCCTGCGCCTTCTCCTTTTCTTGGTGACATGGCCAGCTGGTTCCCACTCAGCTTGTTTCTGACTGCTGATCTGCAGCTCAGTCTCATCACAAGAGGATGCAGAAGTTTGGCTTTCATCCTGAAAAGAGATACATATATTAATCTACCATGTCCTCTGTATAGAGGCATAATACTCAGAAAGAATGAGCATTTAAACTGAATAAAAAACATATATTACGTCCAACCAGTGTGGCTCAGTGGTTGAGCGTCGACCTGGGAACCAGGAGGTCACAGTGCACATCCCCGGGTTGCAGTAGGGGGCATGCAGGAGGCAGCCAATCAATGATTCTCTCTCATCATTGATGTTTCTATCTCTTTCTCCCTCTCCCTTCTTCTCAGAAATCAATAAAAATATATTATAAAATATATATATAGCCGAAGCCGGTTTGGCTAGGTGGATGGAGCGTCGGCCTGCGGACTGAGGGGTCCCAGGTTTGATTCCGGTCAAGGGCATGTGCCTTGGTTGTGGGCGCATCCCCGGTGGGGAGTGTGGGGGAGGCGGCTGGTCAATGTTTCTCTCTCATCGATGTTTCTGACTCTCTGTCTCTCTCCCTTCCTTTCTGTGGAAAATCAATAAAATATATTTTAAAAAATAAAATAAAATATATATATATATATATGCCCTGACCAGTTTGGCTCAGTGGTTAGAGCGTCGGCCTGTGGACTGAGGAGTCCCAGGTTCGATTCTGGTCGAGGGCATGTGCCGTGGTTGCGGGCACATCCCCAGTGGGGGGTGTGCAGGAGGCAGCTGATCGATGTTTCTCTTTCATGGATGTTTCTAACTCTCTATCCTTCTCCCTTCCTCTCTGTAAAAAATCAATAAAATATATTTAAAAAAAAAAAAAAAATATATATATATATATATATATATATATAATGGATGCCTAGCATTCTGTTAAAAAAAAGTGCATGAATTTATTGAATATATGCTATGTACTAGGCAGTACCCTATAACTAATAATAATTACAGCTAATATCATAACTTTATTGAACTGTTTACCTTGATTATCTCATTTATTTCTCAAAGCTTATGAGATAGGTAATATTATCCACAGTGCACAGATGGGGAAATGGGGGCTTAGAGAGTCCAAAGTAACTTGTCAAAGGTGAAAATAAGGAGTAAAGTAAGGACAGCACTTCTCTACCATGAACTAAAAGTAAAGAGCTACATTGTCAAAACAGTGCAGTACAGGTTACCAGAACATCTCAAACAGACATGCTTATATACTAAATCACTGTGTGATAATGGTTACACTTCATATTTGTCGGGGAAGGTTGGATTCATTATTCAACATGTGATGCTGAGAAAATTGTTTTGAATATTTTTTTTGGGGGGGGGGCAATGAACCTCGATCATTCACACCAAAATGAAATCTGAATGTATTAGAAATTTAAATGTAAAAGATCAAAAGATAAAAGCACTAGAAAATACTCACGTGAGGGGAGGCTTTTTTACCTGTAGACTATAAAGGAAAGGTTTGGTTTGTTTTTGGTGCTTTTCTAATTTTTTTATTCATAAGTTCTAATTTTTTTAAATAAACTAAAAGTTCTAATTTTTAAAAATAAAATAATTAAAAACATGTACATATGGCTAAAAAAAAATACTAAAGAGATTATAATGAAAATCAGTTGGTTCTCTGCCTACCTTTCCTATTTCTCAAGCTTAATTTCAGGTGGCTACTTATATATCACCAGTGATTTGCTGATGAGATATTCACTTATATTTCCTTTTTTTCCACTTACATTTCCAATAGCTATATTTAGTGCCCATCATGTGCTACAATTTATCTCATTTGTATCCCTCACCTCCCCATGTTCTTCCTAACAGAATCATACCACTTTAATCACTCAATTAGATACCTTTGCAGCTTTAAATATACTAAAGACCTTAAATCTTGTTCCACAACTATATGAATCTACTTGTAAACTGCAGTTATTAGCATCCCTACACTTCTCTTCACCTCTCAATTTCTGTCATCTATTCTCTTTAAGCATCCAAGTTGATAACATTTACAGCCTATTATGTAATCTGAACTGAATCATCTGTGCCTTTTCTGTGTAGCTTGATTCTAAGTTATTGATAAATAAGTTATTGTAAGACTTTTTAAAACAAAAAAATTTTGTTTTCTGTATCATCTTTGTTTTGTTTAGGGTAATTTTTTTTTAAAGTTGATTTTAGAGAGAAAGAAACATCAGTTTGTTGTTCCACTTATTGATTCATCGGTTCATTTTTTAAAAATTTTTTTTATTGATTTCAGAGAGGAAGAGAGAGGGGGAGAGAGATAGAAACATCAATGATGAGAGAGAATCACTGATTAGCTGCCTCCTACATGCCCCCCACTGAGTAGGGATCGAGCTGGAAACACAGGCATGTGCCCTGACTGGGAATCAGCCTGTGATCTTCTGGTTCATCAGTGGATGTGCAACCACTGAGCACCCCAGCCGGGCTACTGGTTGATTCTTGTATGTGCCCTGACTGAGGGATGAAACCTACAACCTTGGTGTTTGGGGATGATGAGCTAACCAACGAAGCTACCCAGCCAGAGCCTAGGGTCATTTTTTTCTTTTCCTTAAACTCTGACTACAGGTTTTCCTCAAAAGCCTATGACTATTGGTCTTTTATTCATATTTCAGAGCAAAAACCTCATTAGGAGTTTGAATGTGAGTGCTCGTTATCTGGTGGAATCTGATCTAGTAGGTTCCTTAGGAGGAGGCTATGGTGCTGGGGATCCTTGATTGCCAGAAGCCCTTTGCTTGATAACCATTTACTTTCCTTACAGAGAAACCTTCTAATATTTTAGCCGCACATGGAAGTGGGGGGTAGGCTGCTTTGTATCCTGACTTTTCAGTCCATTTCACTATAATACCTGGACCCCACCCTCTGAGAGTGATTTAGTTGGCCTGGGTTTTGGTGAGGCCTATATACCAGTATTTTTAAAAATATTCTCCCCAAATGATTTTCCCACACAACCTGGATTGAGAACCACAGTATAAAGTAAACGTGTTGGGCTCTAGCTGGTTTGGCTCAGTGGATCGAGCGTCGGGCTACCGACTGAAGCATCCCAGGTTCGATTCTGGTCAAAGGCACATGCCCGGGTTGCAGGCTCAATCCCCAGTGAGGGCTGTGTAGGAGGCAGCTGATCAATGTTTCCTGCTCATCATTGATGTTCTATCTCTCTTTCCCTCTCCTTTCCTCTCTGAAATCGATAAAAAAATATAAATAAATAAAGTAAATGTGTTGGGAGTGAAAGAATAAGGAGGCTTAGAGAGTGGAAAGTTTTAGTCAGAGGTGAAATATTACCAACTAGTATAGTTCCAAGGGATATAAAGTCCAGAATATGCTCAATGAAATGGATGGCTGATGAATAGCAGAAATGAAAGTCATAGGAGTTAAGGAACCAGGAGACAAGGGTATAAGAGACATCCAGATGAACCTTTGAATTCACCCCAAATAAGGTCAGGACATGAGGTGATGAGGAAGACAAGAAGACAGTGAACATCAGAAAGCAACAGGAAGGCCAACAGGTAAGAAATGAGAATAGGTGAGCATAACTTCAAAGGAGCAGGGATATTTATATGAGAGTAGAAAGATACTATCTGGATCTGACTTCCCAACTCCCTGAATAGTTGTGGGAAGACAGTGAAAAGAAAAAGAAGAAATTTTCCACTATAAAAGTGGTACCTTCGGGTTACACCGTGTATTACTGGAATATACAGATACTTTTAAAGTGGTTATTCACCCCACCCTCTAATCCAGCCCCCATAGTAGCACTTCGCAGTATAGGTGCTATAGCTGGTTTAGAAGCCTGTTAGCACAACTCTCAGAGATGTCTTGCTTTAACCCCACACACCTTAACCATGATATGTTAGACGGGAGGCCAACAGTGATAGCGAAGATGTATTCATTCCTGAATGAGCCATGCCTAACTATAACAGACTTGTCTAAATCCAAGGCCCGGCAGGCATGGCTCAGTGGTTGAGTGTCCTATGAACCAGGAGGTCATGGTTCAATTCCCGGTCAGGGCACATGCCTGGATTGTGGGCTTGATTCCCAACAGGGGGCATGTTGGAGGCAGCCGATCAATGATTTTCTCTCATTGTTGATGTTTCTATCTTTCTCTTCCTCTCCATTCCTCTCTGAAATAAAAATAAAATTTAAAAAAGACCGAAGAGGCACACAGCCAGACTAACCTACATCTAGAGCTGCTCCAATTCATAGTTAAGGCTGACCTCTAGTGGGAGAATAAGGCTTCCATAAGGTCTGATGTCACACTCACTCAGATATGATCCACACCTGGGCATTCCCCAGGTAATGATTTGGGGGTCTGGAAGCTTACTCGTTGTCTATCCTTGGGGACATTAATGATCTCTTTGCCATGCATTTGGATTGTGCTGACTCCTGTACTCTTAAATAAACTTTTTGCCGAAACTGGTTTGGCTCAGTGGATAGAGTGTCGGCCTGCGGACTGAAAGGTCCCAGGTTTGATTCCGGTCAAGGGCATGTACCTGGGTTTCGGGCACATCCCCAGTAGGAGATGTGCAGGAGGCAGCTGATCGATGTTTCTAACTCTCTATCTCTCTCCCTTCCTCTCTGTAAAAAATCAATAAAATAAATAAATAAATAAATAAATAAACTTTTTGTCCGTCAGATTTTTCCACCAATCTAAGCTCACGATTGATAGATTCACCACTTAGGAAGTCTCTATCTGACTGAATGTTGACTAGCATCCTGCTCTTGTGTAAGTTTTTCAAAAAGAATGGCTCCTGAGATGTTGAATTTAAAATATGATAGATCATTTTAAATTTAGTTTATCAATTACTATCCAAAGTAAATCAGCATTTCAGATAGCACTATAATCATGTATCCTTAATCATTTAAACACACACACACAAATAAAATTATTTAGTTGATGTAAAAACTATTAATTCTTTTTTGTTGTCTATTTTTAGTTAATTAAAACCTGGAATCAAAGGAATTTTAAATGTTTATAAGTTGGAATACAGTTACAGAGACTATATACAGTCAGAGAAGAGGAAGTTAGATTTTCAGTTCATGTTTATATTCATTTCCAGATACATAACAGATGCTCTCCAAGGCCCAGTTCCATAAGGCCTTTCAACACTTTTCCCTATTTCAAGTTAAGAAACCTGGCCCTAATGAAGCCTTCACTGATCCTTTCAGGCGGCATGCCCTCTCAGAAATCTGTGGAGTAGATTTAAAGCAGCCATGACAACCTCTGCCATCAGCAGTGCTTTACAATTTGCTACAAGCATCTTTCACTCAGAACAGGGAAACTAAGAATCAAGGAGTTTGAGTTTTCTCAGGTGATAGATACACTAGAAAATGACAAAGCTGCTACTTAACCTGGGTTTTTCTGACTTTGAATCTAGTTCCTTCCCTACTTATATCAAGTTATCTCTTACAACTTTTGGCAACTGAATTGTTAACTTTTACAATTGTACAAGAACATCTCATTCAACAGATTACTTGCTGCAAGACACTTTCACCATTTACAACCAATAGTTTTTATGAAAGGACTCACCAGAACCAATCATGATCTTTTTGGTAATAAACAGTATGTCTTAAAAGACATCACTAATTGTGTGTATCATTCATTATCTAAACATGATTGTTTTGCTAAACAGGTGATGAAAAAACCTTACTTACCTGATTTCCATTTTCTTTTCTTGCTTCCCGTTTCAGGTGGGCTTTCAAGGCTTTTAGCAGCTTGTCTGCCTGCAGGAAAGTTAAAGTTAACAGTAGAGCCAAAAATCAAATCAGCAAGACAGATACATTGAACATTTCTTTCTGTTCTTGTATTCATCAAATGTCCTTTGAGCAGTGGGCTCTGGGAATAAAATAAAGACTGAAACAGAACTGGTCCCGGTCCTCACAGACTTCGCAGCAGTGAAGTCCGACAAGGAAAGGCAAGGACAACGCAGTGGGGTCAGTGCCAGCATGAGGAAGCTCAGGGTGTTGTGAGAGAACACAGCTGGGCTTGCCATTAGGGTAGAGACTTCAGCATGTCATCAGACTGGTGTTAACTGTTATTTGTTAAAATAACTAAATCTTGTTAATTTCTTGGAGCAATTTATTCATTTTTGCTATGTACTTGGAATTTAAAAAGGCAATTGATTTAAGGAGCTCCTGGGCTGCACCGACTATAAATAATTTAAAATATTTTAATTATGGAAAATTTCAAATACATACAAAAGTAGAGACTAGTGTAATGGACCCCCATATTTCAACCCCCAAGTATTTCATAGCAAATCCAAGGCATCTAACATTTCACCTGTAAATACTTGGTATTACCAAGAGATAAGGACTTACTAGTAAAAAAATAACAGAGAAACATAGCCACAATACCATTATCATACTGAATACAATGAACAATATCTAGAATTTAATACCTAGTCCAAATTTACTTTTCTCCATGTCAAAGGTGTCTTTTTATCATTGGCTATAATAAAGTCTTGTACAATCAAATTTGCCTGAGAATTGTACCTCTCAACAAATATTTGACACCTACTATGTGCCAGATATTGTGTGCAAGGCAGGCAATGGGGTCTATAGTAACAAATACTGTACTACTCCACCTCTATGAAAACAGATGATTAATTAACTACCTCAGATCAGGTGCCTCAAGAGACAATGATGGGTGGGACTTTCAGAAAAAGATCTAAACTTGCAATAGCTCGTTAGAGATCCAAGGGGTTGTGGGGCCTTACTGTCAGGGCACTGAACTCAGGTAGAAACCTCTTCTGTAAATCTCTTGCTATCGTGTGGTGCACTGCCAAAAAGTAGGTGTCAATAACAGTCTGAATAAATACTCAGCATCTCCTATATAAAACGTACTGACTTAGTAGTACTGTGAAGGCTTCCAAGGTGGGATGAAAAGATCCCAGTCCAAGGAACTTAACTTTTAGTAGAGAAGATAACACACACACACAAATAGCCAGAGTACAAGGTGGAAGCCTGCAAGCGCTCAGAGACAGTACTTAAAATTAAACTGTTTAAAAGCACAGAGGGCTGGCTCCTGGGGTTACTGGGGTGGTGGACCTGTGGCTAAGGAAATGAGGAGGGGATGGGGCATCAAGTCAGTGATGACAGTTCAGTGGGACCGTGATAGAGAGGAGGGGAGTTGCAGGGCTGGGTGGAAAAGATGAAGGGATTAAGCAAAAACCAAAAGAATACAAAACTCATGACAGACAACAGTATGGTGATTACCAGAGGGAAAAGGAGGAATGGGGGAGATAGAAGAGGGTATGGGGAGGTAAATGCTGATGAAGGGAGACTTAATTTGGGGTGGTGAACACACAATATACAGATGATGTATCACAGAATTGTACACCTGAAGACTATTTGATTTTATTAACCAATGTCACCCCAATAAATTAAATAAAAAGGGGAAAATAAGAATAAATGGAAATGATTCATGCAGATAAAGAAGACAAGAGAAAGGAGGTGATCTGAGGCTGAAGGGTCAAAATTAGCAAAGGCAATAAGATGGGCAAAGGTACCAAGTTTCGATGCAGTCTTGGATAAAAGATTCTAGCCAGATTGCAAAAAGCCTAAGGAATTTAAGCCAAGGTATTCGGCTTTGTTTACGAAGTATTAGGGAACCATTAAACATCATAGCTCAGAAATATCTCCAAAGACACTCCTAGATTATTCTGCCACAACAGATACCTGAGCACTGATTATTTTGTTTAAACCATTTAAAGGCCATAAGAACAAATCTCCGGAGTATACATTAGCATTACATGAGAAAATGCCACCAGAATCTAATACAGAAACCCAATCCCAAACTGAATCGCCACATTTCCCTCCAACATTTTGCAGCCTCGGAGTTAAAGACCTTACTGGTTTGGAAACACCACAATAGTGATCAATAAATGAACGATCATTCCAGATCAAGGCTGAGTTATAAAAATGTGTCCATAGGGATGGTCCCTTAAAAACAATCCTTTCTTCCAGGTCCCCCAATAAAGTATTAAGAGATTCTGGGTGCTATTACAAATTATATAAGTGCTCCTATGTTGAATTTTCCAAAAGCCAAGGCAGTTATTTCCGCGACTGCCTACAATTAATGGGCATTAGAGCGTTCCTTGAGCTTTCTGGGCCTGCATTTCGTAACTGATGCCCTGGGAAGTATCAGAGTATTTCCAATAAAACCAAACCAAACCAATCCTTTTGAAGCCGAGGCCTATGGGAGCCCCCAGAAAAGTCAGCCTCAAGATCAGGTGAAGAATAAGGTTCCCCTTCCGCCCCACTTTTGCAGTTGAAGCGATACTCGAGACCATACCTACTCCCTCACCCGCAGGGGCCCGCTCGGTCCCTCCCCACCGCTTCTCCGCAAGGCCGCTCAGCCTACCCCACCCGCTACCGTTCGGTACCGCCCGCTCCTTACCCTCAGGTTAGCCCGGAGACCCAGACTCTTGGCCAAGTTCTGCAAGTCATTGTATTTGAAGGAGTCCAGCTCCTCGAGGGAGGGGACGGTCATCCCGACCTGCAATTCAGGTAACCAAGGCGAAGTACCCTCCAAACAACGGCGCGCGGTTCAAAACTCAGGCGCACTACAGTCGTTGACCCAGCCAAGCTTTATACACAGTTTAAATTAAGAATGCTGCCCTTCCATTGGTTAAAAATGTACCGAAGGCGGGGTTTCCTGGAGTTGACCAATAGAAAGGCTGATCCCCTCATCAAACACACATTCTATCCCACCCCTCCGAAGGGCGTGTCCAGGCCGCGCCTGCGCTGCAGGGCCCCGGGCTCGCGGCGTCCAATGAAGACGCAGGACCCGTGTTTGGGGCGGGGCCTGGTGCGCGTTCGAAATCCCGGCGGCGGCGGCCGCGGGAAGATGGCTGCTCGGCCGCGGCGGCATCGCTCTCGGTATGCACAGCTGCGGGAGGCTGACTTTTGCGATGGCACTAAGACAGTGGACGGATCCTCTTTTACGACTTCCATGGAGTGGGACACGCAGGTGGTGAAGGGGTCCTCGCCGCTCGGCTCCGCAGGGCTGGGGACGGAGGAGCCGCCATCCGGCCCGCGGCTGCCGGCCTGGCTGCGGCCGGAGAGGTGCGCGGTGTTCCAGTGCGCGCGATGCCACGCCGTGCTCGCCGACTCGGTGCACCTCGCCTGGGACCTCTCGCGGGCCCTCGGGGCCGTGGTCTTCTCCCGTGAGTGCGGGCGGCGTCTGGGGAAGGCGGAGGGGGCCCCGGGTGGGGAGGCCCAAGAGGGCGTCCCCGCTCTCTCCCGGGTGGCCGAGAGCCGGTCGGGGAAGAAAACGGAATGAATATCTGGAAATTGGGGGAAACGGTTCTTGATTATTGTGGCCATGATGAGCCTGTCTGGAGGAGTAGGTTTTCCCTTCAAGGCCGCACAGGTACTGGTTCTGACCGCTTTTTTTTTTTTTTTAAATTCTTCACAGGGGTTACAAATAACGTTGTTTTGGAAGCGCCCTTCCTGGTTGGCATTGAAGGTTTACTCAAAGGCAGGTACGTGCTGAGACTCCTGATCGGTCTCCAGTCCCTGACTTAATGATTCCGAGGAGCGATCTTGCGCTGGAAGAAAAGTTTATTCCGCCCATACAGTGTATTGGAAGGATGTTCCTTCTACGAACTTGATGCAATAATCGATGGAGAAGTTGTATTTGTGGATAGATTTTAAGATCTCTTTGAGGGCCACATATCCCTAGTGGCTTGTGCAAGTAGAGTGAGGCTAAGAAGGTACGTCTAGCAGAGGAAAAGGGAGAAAATTATGTTGTTGTTGCTTTGCTTGTTTTTGTTAATGCTCACCCGAGGATATTTTTCCATTGGTTTTTATTTATTTTTTAAAAGTGTATTTTATTTATTAAAATATATTTTATTGATTTTTTTACAGAGAGGAAGGGAAAGGCATAGAGAGTTAGAAACATCAGTGAGAGAGAAACATCGATCAGCTGCCTCCTGCACACCCCCTACTGGGGATAAGCCCGCAACCAAGATAACATGCCCTTGAACGAATCCAACCTGGGACCCTTCAGTCCTCAGGCCAACGCTCCATCCACTGAGCCAAACCAGTTAGGGCTTCCATTGATTTTTAGAGAGAATGGAAGGGAGAGGGAAAAACAGAGAGAAACATCTATGTGAGAGAGACACATCAATTGGTTGCCTTCCGGCTCGAACCCCGACCAGGGCCAGGGAACCTGCAATCAAAGTACCTGCCCTTGACCGGAATCGAACCCGGGACCCTTCGGTCCTTGGGCCGACGCTTTATTCACTGAGCCAAACCAGCCAGGGCAAGAAAATTATATTTTGGTGTATAGTGATAACAACTTACTAGAAACCACAATCCTTTGAGATAACTAGTACTTTTAAGTTTGCATGTAATCTGGCATTTGTAATAAGCAGTGGCAGGACTAATTCTGCTGTAACCCAGGAAACGAGGAGGAAAACAGGTTTGAATGTTATCCACTTTAATACAGTAGCCTGTCCCCCTTATCCATGGCTTCGTTTTTCACGATTTCAGTTACCCAAGGTCAACTACAGTCTGAACATATTAAATGACAAATTCCAGAAATAAACAATTTATAGGTTTTAACTTGTGCATCATTCTAAATAGTGTGGTGAAATCTCACAATATCCTACCCTTTGTCCCGCGTATCTATGCTGTGTATACTAACTCATGGATAGTTATTTACTAGCTGGCTTGGTCATCAGATCAACTGTCACAATGTCTGTTGACTTCAGAGAAGAAGGGATAAGGAGAGAGAGATAGAAATATCAATGATGAGAAAGAATCATTGATTGGTTGCCTCCTGCATGCCCCCTACTGGGGATCAAGCCTCCATCCCAGGCATGTGCCCTTGGCTGAAATTTAACCTGGGACCCTTCAGTCCGCAGGCTGACGCTCTGTCCACTGAGCCAAACTGGCTAGAGCTGGATGTTGTTATATACCAGCAAATATGGTAAGTGACTTACCCAAGTGGTATAACTAGAACTAAAATCAATATTTCCCGATTCTTCACCCAGTAGTGTTTCAGGGGATGAAGGAAAAGAAAATTGATGGCTTGTGAGGGTAATAGGATTTCCTTTATTTAATTTTTTTAGAGGGTGAGGGATAGAGAGAGAGAGAAACATTGATGAGAAACATCGATTGGCTGCCTCCTGTAAGCCCTACTGGGGATCGAGCCCAAAACCCGGGCATATGCCCTGTCTGGGGATAGAACTGGGGACCTCTTGGCGCATGGTGCACTCAACCACTGAGCCATATTGGCCAGGTGGATTTCTTTCCTTAAAGTTTTTTGTTTTATCTGCACAATAAAAATCCTGATTTGAATTCTATTAATAAATTGTTTAGTAAGGCCAGGTCAACTTGATTTTGTCATGGTAGCTAATTTAAATAGTCTTATATAGTTTTATATGTTTAAATGTTAATCTGATTAGTTGGCTCTCTTTCTGCTTTTCAGATGTAAATTACTTTTCTTAGTTCTGCATCCATGATTTCTGTTGTGGCCAGAATACACAAGGTTATCTGTAATCTAGGGTGTAATTATATTAAAGTCTGAGTTAACCTTTCTTCTTTTTTTTAATATATATATACATATATACATATACTAGAGGCCTGGTGCACAAAAATTTGTGCACTGGGGGGGGGAAAGGGGGTCCCTCAGCCCATCCTGTGCCCTCTCGCAGTCTGGGACCCTTCAGGAGATAATGACCTGCTGGCTTAGGCCTGCTCCCGGATGGCAGAGGGCAGGCCCAATCCCTAGGTGCAGCCCCTGGTCGGGCTCAGAGCAGGGCCAATTGGGGAGTTGGGGCGCTGCCCCCTGTCATGCACAGAGCAGGGCGGATCGGGAGGTTGCCATGGCACCCCTAGTCAAGCTCAGGGTAGAGCCGATTGGGGGGTTGGGGCACCGCCCTCTGTCACACTCAAGACAGGGTCGATAGGGAAGTTGTGGCGCCACCCCGTCACTCACAGAGCAGGGCCCATCAGGGGGGTTGGGGCTCCGTACCCTGTCACTCACAGAGTAGGGCCGATAGGGGGGTTGGGGCACCGCCCTCTATCACCCACAGAGCAGGGCCGATCAGGGGGTTGGGGCGCCACCACTGTCACACTCAGGGCAGGGCCGATGGGGAGGTTATGACTCTACCCCGTCACACAGAGAGCAGGGCCCGTAGGGTGGGGGGGGTTGGGGCGCCACCCTCTATCACCCACAGAGCAGGGCCAATCAGGGGCTTGGGGCGCTGCACCCTGTCACATACAGAGCAGGGCCGATCAGGGGGTTAGGGCACTGCACCCTGTCACACACAGAGCCACAGGGCCATCAAGGGGTTGGGGAGCTCCCCCCTATCAGGCACAGAGCAGGGCTGATCAGGGGGTTGGGGTGCCTTGTCACGAACAGAGCAGGGCGGATGGGGAGGTTGTGGCCCCGCCCCCTGTCACACACAGAGCCCCAGGGCGATCAGGGGGTTTGGTCGCTGCCCCCTGTCATGCTGATCCCGGTGCCGGGAGCCTCGCTGCTCCGCTGATCCCGGTGCCAGGAGGCATATTACCCTTTTACTATATAGAATAGAGGCCTGGTGCACGGGTGGGGACTGGCTGGTTTTCCCTGAAGGGTGTCCTGGATCAGGGTGGGGGTCCCCACTGGGGTGCCTGGCCAGTCTGGGTGAGGGGCTGAGGGCCGTTTTCAGGCTGGCGGATGACCGAAGCTCCCAACTGCTCCTTTTTTTATTTTTTTTTTATTTTTATTCTGGGCCAGCTTTAGCTCTGAGGCCTCGGCTGCTGAAAGCCGGTTTCTGGCCTTTGTTTTTCCTTCTGTATTTGATACAATGTTGCGGTCCGGTTGGCTGAAGCCCGGCTGGCTGAAAGCCGGTTTCTGGGGTTTTGTTTAGCTTCTATATTTGCAACATAGTTGCTTAGAGTTTCAGCTGAGAGGCCGGCAAGTTAGGCGGGGAACGTTGGAGTCCGCAGTCACTGGAGCAAGCAAGCCTCCCTGTTGGCTTTAGTGCATGGCTGCCGGCCGCCATCTTGGCTGACAGTTAATTTGCATAAGGATATGCTGATTAGCCAATGGGAAGGGTAGTGGTCGTACGCTAATTACCATGTTTCTCTTTTATTAGTGTAGATATGTGTGTGTATATATATATATATATATTTTTTTTTATTGATTGTTTGCAGAGAGGAAGGGAGAGGGATAGAGAGTTAGAAACATCAATGAGAGAGAAACATCGATCAGCTGCCTCCTGCACACCTCCTACTGGGGATGTGCCCACAACCAAGGTACATGCCCTTGACCGGAATTGAACTTGGGACCTCTCAGTCCGCAGGCCGACGCTCTATCCAGTGAGCCAAACTGGTTAGGGCTTTTTAATATATTTTTATTGATTTCAGAGAGAAGGGAAAGATAGAAACATCAATGATGAGAGAGACTCATTGATCGGCTGCCTCCTGCATGAGCCCACATCCCCGGCATGTGCCCCTGACCGGAATCGAACCTGGGACCCTTCAGTCTGCAGGCCAACGCTCTATCCACTGAGCCAAACCTGCTAGGGCTGAGTTAACCTTTCTTCAATGTGACATTCCTATTATAGCATAGTTCTTAGGAATGCATTCAGATGCTGGTTATTTTGTATTTACAGATTTTCTTTCTTACCCATATTCTGTGTTTTTCCCCCCCTCCAGCACGTACAACCTTTTATTCTGTAGTTCTTGTGGGATTCCCATTGGTTTCCATCTGTATTCTAC